TAGTAGCGTCCTTGCTCCTAGTAGCGATGCCAGGAGCCCCTAGTAGCAAATGGATGGCCATCCGCTCGAACTTGTTAAATATTCCTGCTCAGTCGTTGTTGCTCAGCAGATTCACGGAGCAAAAAGACGGGTCAAGCAAACATGGAACTCATGGGATGAACTTAATCATTAAGAGTACGGCCAGGAGCCCCTAGCAGCCCTAGCAGCGTCTTTGCTCCTAGTAGAAATGCCCTTTGCTCCAGCGCCCTTGCTCCTAGTAGTACGGCCAGGAGCCCCAGTAGCGTCTTTGCTCCTAAGTTCATGAAAGAAAACCACTTGGATTAACTTAATCAATCATTAATCCCGATCCCTCTCTTCGCCTTGGGAACAGTTAGTGGTTTGGCCGTCCCCCATGCCAAGACAAACCACGCCATGAGCCCAAACCACCCAACACAGACCATGTGAAGCAAGTGACAGTTGAAAGGACACCTTCAGCCGCTGGAGCCTTCCCTTCTTGATACTGTAGGTACTTTGTGCATTATTGTAGAACACGTGCCCGAATAGGTTAGTTGTTCCGTGATTGCTATTCGGTTCGCTTCGCAACGACAACCACTCGCAACATTGGCTCCTGGGGGTCCAAATATAGTTGCTTGTGATCATTCTAATCATTCTATTTTCCGACTCCATTGAAATTGTACAACATTGTATAGAGCCGCCACGGCCCAAAACCGGTAGGCTTAGGGACACGGCTCCCGGGGGCCACTGGCCACCTCCCAAGGTGGGGGTGGTGTCTACAAGGCTGCTGCCCCCAGTAGCCAGCCTTTGTGCTTGTGAGACCTTTAGCTAGGTGTGCCACGTGCTTGGTAGGTTTTGCCATGGCAATGCAACATGTGTTGGGCCTCGTGGATCAGATCCTTGAGGACCCTCTGAAGTCCAAGATGCGGGGCATTTTTACTGAGCTGCAGTCACCGACGGTTTTTCCTCGGTTCGGTGACCTTCACTGCTGCGCTGGAGATGTTGTCGCTGTTGGGCCTCAATGGATTGATGCCGCCTTGCACCAACTCCTGCCTTTTGAAGGCTTCGTGTCCAAAGGAGAAGAGGATTGTTTGATGCGTTTGCACATTCAGGATGTTGCAGCTCGCTCGATCCACCTTGCGAGTGGGGTCCAAATTGTTTGCACAGGGATTCTGCGCCACCAACATGACAACAAGGAGGCCTGGTTTGACCATGCTGCACTCTGTTTCCGACCAGAGTTGATAACAGAGTTGCCCTGGTCGGCGTTGCATGTATATGCTGGATCATTTCCGGTTGTCGCAACTGAGGTCATCGAGATTTCTCCGACGTTGCCACTTGAGCTGAGTGCCAACAAGCTCGAATTGGATGAGCAGGACCAGAGCTGGAACCAGTTTGTCCACAGTCATCTCTTCCAAACTGTGCAACCCATCATCGAAACACTGCAAGATGATGTGGCTACTCGTACAAATGAGATCATCATTGTGGACAAAACTGATCAGATTCCCATTGCGTTTCAATGCTCTGAGCAAGATCAGCAGTGTTGCATACAGCGACTTCGAGCAGCACTTTCATGCCAGACGAACACGATTGCTCATGGCCGAGGTGTTCTTGTCGCAATCTTGAACAAGCCAGCTTCTGATGGACAAACATCGGTTATTGCATTTCAGCAGAACAATGTCTTCGAGACTGCCAAGATTATTGATGTTCCTTCCACGACCAGCAGTTCTCACGAAATTTTGCTGAATGGTACTCCGTCCAAGATTCATCAGATTAATGGGGAGCATGTTAAACACTGCACCATGCTGGCCCCAGGTGATTTTCTTTGCTGCATTACCAAGCATGTTGTGGCTGCCGGAGGCCACCATCAATTCGTTGGCCCTCCGCCCATCCTCAGGCAAGGGTCCGACTTTGAAGCCCGCATCGAGTTTATGACCAATACACATGGTTGGGCTGCATCAGACGAGATCTATGCTCGCACTCAGACGTTGATGTGGATGGGAGCAGGCATCCGAGCCTCACCCCCAGTTATGTGGGACACCGTCCAAGACAACTTTGATGATGCCTACTTCGGAGATCCAGTTATTTACAACAACGCTGTCACCCTGTTGCCCATTCTTGTGAGATCCCACTGGGGAGCTGCAGAGATCACCAAACAAGGTGACAACACTGATGTTACGCTGGTTCAGATTCATCCTGACTTCCATCAACAGATCATTGTGATCCTTGCCAAGCTGATGGACATTGATCCAGCCAGGATCAATATGCATGCCACACCGGAGCATTACCAGCCGCATTTGTGTGGATGGAACCTTCTCATGCGGTGGTTCTCTCGAGGCGGACATCGCAATCAGCTGGATGATGTTGCTGCACAGTATCACTTGCCACAACATCTCTTTGATGCAGTATGTGTTGCAATACAATGCTCTATTGAAGACTGGCGCACGGCAGGCATCACTAGGGAAGTCGAACTCTTTGCCCATCGACTGAGAAAGAATTTCCTTACTACGCTTGCTGTGAACCACGCACAAGGGAGACCACCACAGCAACCGATGCTTCAAGTATGCCATCCGAGTCGCAACAATGTTGCCACAGCTCTCACTCCAACAATTGTACCAATGTCGATTGATCAGGACAGGATTGACCGGGTCCAACAGAGATTGGACCATTTTCGTGAGTACAATGGTTGGTTAGCCACCGATGAAATGGACTACGCATTGGAGGGCCCCCGCCTGCTCTCCTTGTCGACTTTGTTCTGTGCGCCAGCTGTTTGGTCCATCATTCAAGGGCAGTTGAACATTGTCAACGACCTCACGCCTGAGTATGCCACGTTTGGGCACATCATTTGGCCCATTGTTGTGAACAACCATTGGATCATGGTCGAATACTTCCAATCTGGAGAAGACTCACATTTCAGCGCCACGGTTCCCGCCAACATGCGAGAACCACTTCGAGCTCTCTTTGATCACTTGGTGCATGTCACTGAGACTGACCGCACAAGGATGCGCTTTGTCTTTATCGACCAAACGTGTCCACCGCATATGTGTGGGCATTCCATCTTGCAGCAGCTGTTCAATCGTGTTGATGCTGGCCAGGTCTCTCTCAGTGAAATCCAGAGGCCTCTTCGCAATGGGCCTCTTCCATTGCATTGGTTCAAGATGAAGCGCAAGCTGTGTGGGACGCCAGTCAGGCTAGCCCTACTCTGCGCCACTTTGCCGCTGCGACCAGAGACTGGTATATGCTCAGAGTTATCGAGAACCGCTTTCCACTGGAATTTATTGCAGCAGGTGCCCAAGATGAAGATGAGCCCATGATTGAAGATTCGAGCAAGAAGGCCAAAGCTGCTGCTTCCACTGGCGGGCCAAAAAGCGCTGCGGGCACCTCCAAAGATGCTGCTGATCCATGGTCTTCGTGGGACCCATGGCGACCGAAGCCACCAAGACCCCAACAGGCGAAATGGGAAGATCTGCAAATCCATGCTCCGCTTCCATTCATTGGATCAGATGGAAAGCCACTCGCTCAGACACACAGGCTTCAGCTTACGCCCTCTCGGGGCCGTGTGGTGTTCACGACTAAGAGCAACATCAATGATGTCATCAAAGCCAATGTGCAAGGAGACCTTGTCGCTGTTTTGCCCGCGGGTGACCGTATACCCTTCTCAAGCACATTGCTGAGCAGATGGAGGGACCCTTTGAGCTGACCGTTGAGGACCCACAAGCCAAGTTGTCCTACAAAAGAATCACCAACATGTTGGTTATCAAGGGCAAGGTCTCTTTTAAACTGCCTGAGCCGGTAGTGCGACTGACTACTGCGGCCATTTGTGAAATGGTGCTCGAGATAGATGCACGCCTAGTGGCAAAGCATGATTTTGACAAGTTCAGAAACAACCCGATCGTCACCTACAAAGGCCTCTTGACTGACATCAGCCCTGAAATCGCTGAGCATGCTGTGCTGTACGGGTTTCGCACCATCAAGTATCCTGGGGGAACTCAGCCGGATCAAATGCTGCAAGTGATCGCCAAACTTCCGTATGCACAGAGGTCCGTTGTCCTTGAATCAAGTGGCAGTTCCACCCTTTTGACCCGCGATTTCCTTGAAAGAGGCAAAGGTAGTGTCGACGCTACCGTTCTGCCACGCTTCTGGACCCCGTCCAATGCTGAACTCCAGAACATGCGCATTGCTGTCCAGGGTGTGCAAGGCTTTGCAGGAGCCGTTATGACTCGAAGAGGGCTAGCCCCTAGAATTTGGGTGTCCCACATTTCCGCTGCGCGTAGCCACCTGCTCGCTTCCGACAGCAGGTTGAACAAGGACAACCTCCATGTGGTTCCGAAGCTCACGCTGCAGCTAGCTGGGTGGCCTGCGGCCACTGCAGCAGAACGTGTGGTTTCCTCCACGTTGCAAGCCTTGAAGCTAGCGGTCATTCCGCTTCGTACCTTTCGGGTCGGAGGGGTGCATGTATGGCTGGTGACCACCGACACAAAACCCAGCCAGACAAGATTTGCCGTGCAAATCAATGCCGAGATCTCAGAGATCCTCGTACAGGAGGTGCCAGAACACATCTCTGGCAAAGGAGGGAAAGGTGGCCAGAAAGGCAAGACCAAGAATTTTGCCAATCCGCCTGTTGCTTGGGTTCCCAATCCTCCTGCACCTGTCCCTACCAAGGGGGACGACTCTCGCATCGACAAGTTGGAGCAGAGATTTGAGAAGCTCGAGGCTCGTCAAGTCACCTTCGAAAGCAAGGTCGACACGAGGTTCAGTGACATCCAGGACTCCTTGAGGCAG